CTGACAACTTCTGGAGACAAGCCCTTCCACTGGTTGATTGTTCTGTCAGGAAATTTCTCCTTACTTCTAGGTTGGATCTTTAATGATCTTAGATTAGTTCCCTCAATTATTCATCAATAGTAATAATATTGTGATGAAAAATTGTTCATCAATAACAACAATATTACTGTTATCGATTTGTCACACAGTCAGCCAAATGTTTAGACTGCATTTGGCATTTGGCAGAAGAGCCTTGGTAGTACAGTGGTTTAAGGCACCCTGTTATTAAGCTGGTTATTAAGACCAGCTGCCTGCAATTACTGCAGGGTTCGAATCTCGCCAAGGCTCAAGGTTGACTCAGCCTTCCATCCTTTCTAAGGTAGGTAAATTGAGGACCCAGTTGTGGGGGCAATAAGCTGACTTTGCATAAATATACAAAAGGATGAAGGCTATTGCTGAGCACATTGTAAGCCGCCCTGAGTCTCCGGAGAAGGGCGGCATATAAATCAAATTAAAAAAAAAATATTATCATTATGGGCAATTGACAAAAACTTAGAATGCAGTATTGCAGGCTACCTCTGCCCACAGCCAGGAGTTTGATCCTGATGGACTCAAGACTGACTCCGCCTTCCATCCTTCCTAGTTCGGTAAAATGAGGACCCAGATTGTTGGGGGCAAGATGCTAACTCTGTAAACCGCTTAGAGAGGGCTGTAAAGCACTATGAAGTAGTATATAAATCTAAGTGCTATTGCTGTTGCTATAAGATCTTAACCTCCTTGTTTTCCAAAACTTTGTCAATTTGATGAGTCAGTTTGGGAAATTTTGCTGCAGCCATTAATCAAATGGTCAATTGTTTCATCCTTTTCAGTACAAAAGTGACATTTACTCTTGTTAGTTAAATGATGAATTATAACTTTCCTGCAATCAGTTGACAAAGCTTGTTCCTGAGCTGCTAAAATAAATTATTATTAGATATTTCTATGTTAGTGTTGACTCCTGGCAACTGCCCGGACACATGCTTGCAATTTTCTTGACAAGTTTTCAGAAGTGGTACACCACTGCCACCTTCCCAGGGCTGAGAAAGAAGGACTGGCCCCAGGTCACCTGTAGGTGACTTCATGCCTACATGGTGAGCACAAAACTCAAGTCTCCCGCTTTCTAGTCTGTTGCCTTTAACCACTGCACTAAACTGCAGGTAAATTTGTTTGGATTTATTAGCAAACTTTCTTGGACACCCTGATTAAGTCTTGCTCATTTTACCTGTGAACACACATGTTTTATAGTCTGGACATTTTAACATGATATTTGCACAATATTGCTAAATATCATTTGCAAGATATTTGCATGATATTTCAAATTGATGGCCCGTGGCCATGGTGAAGTATGAATGAAAATGTTTCTGGCAGTTAGCATACAGAAACAATTAGTTTCTAGTTTATTGTACGCAACTGCAATCAGTATATGTCAGCTTTTGCTATATAAGATAATGAGGCTTTGGACGATGATCAAATTATCATTATAATAATAAGGCTCAGCCAATGAAGCTGACTGGAAGGAGCTATAGAACAAAAGTTCTTTCTAAAGCACAGAATTGACCTGTGGGGTTCATTGTTACAAGTTACTATGTTGGCTACTTACTTTTGATGGTTTTAAAGAGGAGTGGAAAAATTTAAAGCGGATGGATCTACCAAGGGAGCCCCTTTGATGTAGTGGTTAAGGCATCAGGCCAGAAACCAGGAGACTGTGAATTCTAGATCCACCCATGAAGCTGACTGGTGACCCTGGTTCAGCTACTTTCTCTCAGCCCTAAGAAGGAGGCATTGCCAGTATATAGGTGGGCCATGAAATTTAATAATAATAATAGTGATATATAGATGATGATGATGATGATGATGATGATGATGATGATGATGATAATAATAATAATAATAATAATAATAATAATAATAATAATAATAGATGGTAGCTTTGTTTACATCTTGATTGGTTGACCTCAGGAAGCCATAGATTTATATCAGGGCATTAATAAATTGGCAGTTTGATTTTCAGTCCCTTCCTAATTATTCCTATCACAGAATAAACGTGTGTTTTATAGAATGAATACACACTGATGCTTAGAAAACTGAGTGTGTGCTGACAAGGAAGGAAAGTTAAATATATGGCAATTGTTGAAGTTCAGCCATGTGCTAACCATTAATAATAACAATCCTAATAAATAATCACCTAATAAAACTGATTTTCTATCACTCTGACATAGAACTCCTTATCTCCCTATTCATTTATATTAAAGCCAGTCAAATCTTCGGCAGAAAAACAAATAATTCCTGGGCATTTTTTTGTTATATGCAGGAAGGGTTTTTTTTAGAATAATCTGCTACCAAAAATGAAACATCTGTTCTTTATTATCTCTCACTTGTTCTTTTTGCAAAGTGATATTTCTTCACAGTGCACGTTATCAGCATTCCTTGAGCCGGTCATTTTTTCGATAAGTGACATCTTTACAATAATTGCAATAATGGTTCCCCAATTAATTCACCCTGCCAGGCTGATGCATGACAGAAGAACAATAGGGAGTACTTGTGTGTGAAATTGCACACAAATTTGGAAGCGGCAGGCTGACAAAATCATTAAGGCCGCTGGGCTGGCTGGACCTGAGGCAACAGACAGCCAATGTTTGTGTTAGCTGCCGGAGTTCCATGCCAACCCTGTTTTGTTGGTCTTGTTATTTAGGAACAGTCTTATTCTTATGCAAAACAAACAAGCAATGATTGTGATATGCATTTGCATTAAAGAGGTTATATTAACCATATTGTATATGCCACTGATCCAAGCAACTGTTATAATGCCTAAATTGGTCCTGTAGCCAATCAAATGGGTTTCCTTACCTACTAGATTTGATGATTAAATTTCAAAACACATACATATGCTTTCACCTAAGAACACTGTACAAAAAGCTGCTGTTGTTGAGCACTAAATGTATTCATTCAACAGAATAACAGAGTTGGAAGGGATCTTTGAGGTCTTCTAGTCCAAGCCCCTACTTAGGCAGGAAACCCTATATCCTTTCAGCCAAATGGTTGTCCAATCTCATCTTAAAAACAACCAGTGTTGGAGCACCCATGATTTCTGGAAACAAGCCATTCCACTGATTGTTCTTACTGTCAGGAAATTTCTCCTTAGTTCTAGGTTGCTTCTCTCCTTGATTTAGTTTGCATCCATTGCTTCTTGTCCTGCCTTCTCCTGCTTTGGAAAATAGGTTGATCCCTTCTTCTTTGTGGCAGCCCCTCAAATATTGGAACAGTGGTATCATGTCTCTCCTAGTCCTTCTTTTCACTAGACTAGACATACCCAGTTCCTGCAACCATTCCTCATATGTTTCAGCCTCCAGCCCCCTAATCATCTTTGTTGGTCTTCTCTGCACTCTTTCTAGAGCTTCAGCATATTTTTTCTGTTGCTGCAACCAAATCTGAATGCAATATTGCAGTACTAACACTTCACGTGATCTGTTAATGCAGCCTAGGACTGTGTTGGCTTTTTTGGCTGTTGCAGCACACTGCTGGCTCATATTTAAGTGCCAGCAGTGTACTGCAGTACTGCAGTGTACTGCTGCAGCTGCCAATTTTATCAATGAATCAATTGATGAATTGCTTTACAGACCCACCTCTCTCTATGTGTGTCTCTTTTCCTACATGTAAGCGCAAGCACACAAACTGACAATTTTTTTTTTGCATTTCTTGAATTCTTTGTCAGTGATTAACTGCTCTGTCTCTTTGCTAGCTTTATTGGCACCTGAGATGTCTGCAAAAAAGTTAAAATGGCCCCTGGGCCCTTGGAATTGAAACCTAGGACTTTTTGGTTCTACTCACAAAGATGCCTGGTAGGAAACTGAAACAGAGAAACCGGACTGAGTCATCATCTCATCTCTTGATAAAAAAAAAAGAATATCTCTCTAAATAGAGATATTTGAACAAGAGAAAGTTGGTGACGTCCTCAGGACAGGATTCTGCTGTTCCAGCACTTCAAAGGGATGACATGGTCAAGGCAGAGTTGAAGTGAATGACTTCAATCTCATTGCACAATCCTCACCAGCAATCTGAAGCCCACACAGCTCCTGGTGCTTCCATGAAAATATAAGGAAAACCTCAATTGGGAACTCATGAAGCATAAATTCATAGGGTTTGAAAGGACTTCAGAGGTCTTCTAGTCCAACCCTCTGCTCAAGGCAGAAGACCTTATACCATCCTGGTCAATGGTTGTCCAGTCTATTTTTGAAAATCTCCAGTGATGGAGCATCCACAACTCCAGGAGGCAAGCTGTTCCATTGATTAATTGTTCGCACTGTCAGAAAATTTCTGCTTACTTCTAGGTTGGATCTCTCTTTAATGATCTTCCACCCATTACGTCTTCTCTTGCCCTCTAGTTCTTTGGAGAGTAAGTCAATCCCCTTTTCTCTGTAATAGCCCTTCAAGTATTGGAAGACAGTTATCATGTTGCCCTTAATCCTTTCTAGGCTCTTTCCAGAAGTGGTTCTACTATCTCTACTGGAAGAAATTCTATCTTTGAGGAATAGTTGGAGAATTCCTTTTGCAGAAATCGTCCATACCATCTGTCTAGATGCACATTTGGTGGAAAATTTTGAAAGGTCAAGAATGGACTTGCTGATGTGAGCAGCTTTCTGCTTCCAAACCACAGTGTTTCTTCCATTCCCATCACAGAGGGTCCTTCACATCTCCTTTTTGCTGTGATAGCATCATAGGCTATCAACTGGATGCTATTTGTGCAGTGATTTGACAGTTCTGAATGTTGTTGATGATCCAGCCTGGTGCTAGAATAGTGATGGTAAGAGTGGCAATTGTAGCAGAAATAGTGATAGAAGTCATGTTCTTATAGTACCAACCATAACAGTATTACCTTTGAATATTTGTTCTCGGTCCAGAGGCCAACTTAATGTGTGGTCTTTCTGCTTCACACTTTGTCGGGACTTGCACCCAAGAAGAAGTGGAAGAAGCTAGAGACTTACCAAGGACAACAAGTTGGATGGTGAGGTTTTTATAGAGACCATGCTTCGGGTTGCTCAAATACAGGGTAAAGTTCCCAGCATGCTTCGGTCTCACATCCCTGATGATTATCCTGTACCTCTCAGGATCTAAGTCATAGCAGTCATTGGCTTTGATCAGGTGGCCATCTTTGTACCTATTTGGACCAGAAAAAGTGGGGATGAAAAACAGCTGAGACAAAGGAATAGAGGGCATCACATTTAGGAGCAAATTTAATTTTTAAATTTTAATTTAGAGCTAGATATTCTGGATGTTCAGGCCTCTCTGCCCAAGTGGAATGTTCCCCACCCATCCACGAATTGGATTGATCTCACAGTAAATTCTCAGTATAGGCAGTCCTTGATTTACAACAATTTGTTCAGTGTCCGGTCAAAGTTACAGCAGCACTGAAAGAGTGATTTATGACCATTTTTCACCCTTATGACCTTTGCCGCTTCCCCACAGTCACGTGGTCAAAATTTGGATGCTTGGCAACTGACTCACATTTATGACGGTGGCAGTGTCCTGGAGTCACGTGATCCCCTTTTGCAAACTTCTGACAAGCAAAGTCAATGAGGAAGCCAATTTCATTTAACAACTGTGCTCCTAACTTAACGACTGCAGCAATTCACTTAACAAATGTGGCAAGAAATTTTATAGAATAGGGCAAAACTCACTTAACAATGGTCTTGCTTAGCAACAAAAGTTTGGGCTCAAATGCAAAACATTAAAGCTCTAAAGTTTGGAGCTTCTATTGCAATATAAGAGAGCCAGGTTGGTGTGGTAGTTAAGGCACCAAGCTATAAATCAGGAGAGAGTGAGTTCTAGTTCTGCCTTAGGCACAAAAGCTAGCTGGGTGACTTTGGGCCAGTTCCTTTCTCTCAGCCCAGCCTACCTCACAAGGTTGTCATTATGGGGAAGATAGGAGGAGGAAGGTGTGTTGGACATATTGGCCACCTTGAGTTATTTGTAAACATAATAAAGGCTGGAAACAAACAAAGAAACAAACATTTTAGCCAAATGCCTGGGTGCTCAAAAATATTAAGATGGTGGCTGTGATAGTATCATTGATTTGTATCCTATGTGTGACTCAGCTGCCTGACGTTTTGGCTATGCACTATGGACATGCTTGAAGACTATCCATCCAAGAATTGGAGAATTGAAATCAGGGACTGAAATAAATCTATTAAGAGTTAAACCACCATGTTATTTGCGGTGGGGGGATGGATAGGGAAGAGAAACATATTAAGTTACAGCATAATCCGTTTTTCTTTTTGCTCCTTTGGCACGGATTGAAAACTGGGCTGGCATCTGAGGGGAAAAGAGGTTTTTAAAAACTGTTTTTCCATCCTTGGAGTTGGAGATGGGGAGGCAATGAATAGTATTGGTTGCAGGACTCGAGAGACATTGCCATTTTGTGGGTCTGCTGCAGGCATGGAAGAGCTACGGAATTTCTTCCTGAAAATCCTAAATCTGATTCCTCAGTCACTTTCTCTGTTGGTTCTCTCAAACTCAGAACTTTGTTCTTAGGGAGATAAGGCCTGGCGTTTGGTATAGAATAACAAAGTTGGAATGGACTTTGGAGGTCTTATTTATTTATTTATTCAATTTGTATGCCGCCCCTCTCTAAAGACTCAGAGCTAGTCCAACCCCCTGCTCAAGCAGGAAACCCTGTACCATTCCAGACAAGGGGCTGCCCAATCTCTTCTTAAGAGACTTCAGTGATGGGGGGGGACCCACAACTTCTGAAGACAAGCCCTTCCATTGGTTGATTGTTCTCGCTGTCTTAGTTCTAGGTGGCTTCTCTCCTTGATTAGTTTCCTTTAATTGTTTCTTGTCCTGCCTTCATTTGCTTTGGAGAATAGGTTGATCCCCTCTTCTTTGTGGCAGCCCCTCAAATATTGGAACAGTAGTATCATGTCTCCCCTAGTCCTTCTTTGCACTAGATTAGATATACCCAATTCCTGCAATTGTTCTTCATATGTTTTAGTTTCCAGCCCCCTATGATCTTTGTTGCTCTTCTCTGTACTCTTTCTAGAATCTCAACATCTTTTTTTCTAACGTGGCCACCAAAATGGATGCAATATTTCAAGTGTGGTCTTACAAAGGCATTATAAAATGGTTTGGTTGCAGTTATTTCTGTATATCTCTGTAGTACTGATAGTCCTATGATTATGACCACAATTGGAACCAGGATTTTCTTTGTTAAGCCAGGCGGTTGTTAAGCAAGGCGATTGTTGTTGTAGTCATTAAGCAAATCTGGCTTCCCCCATTGACTTTGCTTGTCGTAAACTGGCTGAGAAAGTCGCAGATTTGATCACATGACCCTGGGATGCTACAACCATTGTAAACACATGCCAGTAGACAAGTGCCCAATTTTCATCACATGACTGTGGAGATGCTGCGACGGTCATAAGTGTGAGAACTAGCCAGAAGCCACTTTTTTCACTACCACTACCTGTACATAAAATGGCTAACAGATGGCATGAAAACCTACAGTCGTAAAAAGGGACTATAGAACATTAGTTCCTGGAAACTGTTTTCTAAGTAGTGGAGAGTTCACGCAGAAATAGTTCAGTCTGTCAAACAGATTTCCTCCACGCTGTGACCCTGCACATTTCATGTGATGGAAAAGAAACTGCTTTTAAAATGTTATGCAGAGGAGAAAAACATTTTTATAAAATGGCTGAGATGAGTCATTGGGTACTTGCGCTGAACATAGTTCTAAGTGATCTAAGACAAAAGAAGTTATATGCATGTCCTGTCGTTTACTGATTTATAATCTGCAGGTTTATTGATTTATTTGTATCCCGCCTTTCCCTATTCCATTCCAAGGGAAGAGGTCTTCTGCGGAGGAAAATCCTCCAGAAGAACCATCTTAAGTCAGGAAGCAAAGGCAGCCAGAGAGAAAGGACTGTAAAAGAATAGCATGAAAACAAAAGGAAGGCAACACATGACTTCCTCATGAAACAATAAAGTAAATTCAAGAACAAACATGGAATCCTCTGGCACCCCAAATGTGTGAAGAGAAAGAAAAGCTTGTCTTGTCTTAGCAAATAGATAGATTTTGGTGTGAAGGTACACAACTGGAGGCCCTATTGAACATCATTGGCTATTGGTTAAAGATTGGGCTTAGACCAAGAAAATCCAGGTTGAAACCTTCATTTAATTATTAGCTTTCTCAGGGCAACCTTCCTCATAGATAAAATTAGAGGAAATTATATACAAATTAGGAAGGAAGGAAGGAAGGAAGGAAGGAAGGAAGGAAGGAAGGAAGGAAGGAAGGAAAGAGGGAGAGGAGAAGGGGGGGAGGAGGAGGAGGAGGAGGAGGAGGAGGAGGAGGAGAAGAAGAAGAAGAGGAAGAAGAAGAAGAAGAGGAAGAAGAAGAAACAATTGCAATTATACCGCTTCCCCAAATATGATTTTACTGCAATTTAGGAACTCCATTTTAGTCCTTACCAAGCCACATCAGGGGGAGGGAAAGCATCAACCTTCCAAGCCAGCTTCAGTACTTTTAGTCCTGCATTGGCCTCATAATACAGTTTTTGCCTCTTTTTGACAAAATTGATGAAAGCTTGTTCTTCAATAAATGAGAAAAAGAATAAGAGTTAATTGCTAGTTTGCTTTGCAAAGCTGTCAGATTTTTTTTTTTTTGCTGGACATCAAAATAACATGTGCAAAAGATAACAAATCAGAAAAAAAAAAGACAACCAGGCAGATGTGAAATGGGAAAAAAAATAAGAAATGGCCATGGTTACAAATTTAAAGCATGTGGTATTTATTTTTCATCTGAGTAGTGAAATTTTATTAATTTGACTCTGAGGTACTGTTTGATCTGCAGACAATTGTGAAGAAGATCCAATGTATAAAAGCAACAGAGACATTTTAGAAACACCCGTTCTAAGTGAAGGCTGGTGAAGGCAATAATAATCTACAGGCACTATTTTTTCTGGACGGTATTTCTTTTAACTCTTGAATTAATGGTTTTTTTCATAGCACACAATCCATTTTTTTCCTGACCCACAATTGGGTAATTATTAAAATATATCAACAACACACAGCAGCAGATGGTCCATGACAAGGAAGGGTGATTTCTGTTTGATTTCAGCTGTGAACATGATATTTTTCAAAGTGACAATACATTAGGACACATTTCTGGAATTTCTTGAAGATATTACAAGAATGAAAAGATTTATCATTCCTTGGGTGATTGGGTAGTCCTCAACTTACAACAGTTCATTTTGTGACTGTTTAAAGTTACAACAGCACTGAAAAAAGTGACTTACAGTATGACCATTTTTCGTATTTACGACCGTTGCAGCAACGCCATGGTCACGTGACCCAAATTCAGACCCTTGGCAATTGATTCATATTTATGACAGTTGCAATGTCCCAGGGTCATGTGATTACTTTTTGCGACCTTTTGACAAGCAAAGTTAACGGAGAAGCTAGATTCACTTAACAACCATGTTACTAATTTAACTGCAGTGCGTCATTTAACAACTGTAGCAAGAAAGGTCGTAAAAGGAATCAAAACTCACTTAACAAAGGTCTCACTTAGCAGCATAAATTTTGGGCTCAATTTTGGTTGCAAGTCAAGGACTACCTGTACTTTCAAGACATACATAGGTGTAACTTTGGAATATTGTGTGCTATTTTCCTGATGAATGGTGACTCTAAACCACAGAGAAAGTGATATAAGGCAGAGTTTCTCAACCTTGGCAACTTGAAGCTGTATGGACCTCAACACCCAGAATTCCCCAACCATCTCTGTTGCGAAGGTTGAGAAACACTGATATAAGAAGTGTTGAGAAGTTGTGGAGGAAGAAGAAACCACTTATTTTTATCCACCAATGTTGACAATATTTGTTAAAAAATAAACACCACTCAACGTCAAGCAAACAACTTCAGGGTAAATTAACTGAACTGGGGAAGTTGGAAATGCTGAGGCTGGTGCCTCTGGTGAATGAGTAATTTAAATCATCACTGAGTTGAAAGGATTGAGGAGGGAGCTACAGTACATTGGTTCTGCGACGGTCTTATCAGCAAGGAAGGGTCTCCTAAAATGGTGGTACCAGCAGCCTATCAATATATCAGCTTGCAGAAAAGTGGCATGTTCTGACCAAATCTCTTTTGACACCTTAGCTTTTCCACTTTTGTGGTCATTCTTACCGAGTATTGTGACTGTAGTATTGACTTCTATGCCTCCTTCGCCCATACTGAACACTTTGCATATGTAATGTCCTTTGTCTTCCATTGTGACATTCGTGATAGTCACATTACTAGAGCCTTTGTACACGAAGATACGCTTGTCAAAATTCTTTCCTGCCCTTAGTTCCTAGAAGAGAAGAAGAGAGAGGCATAGAAAAATTTCCACTGAGTTCAGTTTAAAAGCCCTCAAATAAAAGCTGTAAAGGGGAATATCGTGGTATCTTTTGCTAGATGTGTATATGGTAGGATTGATGGGAGTAGACTTCAATGAGCCTTTGGTGGCACAGTGGTTATGCAATGCAGTATTGCAGGCTGACTCTGGTGACTGCCAGCAGTTCGATTCTCACTGGCTCAAGGTTAACTCAGCCTTTCATCCTTCTGAGGTTGATAAAATGAGGACCCAGATTGATGCTGACTCTGTAAACCACTTAGAGAGGGCTGTAAAGCAGTATGAAGCGGTATATCAGTGCTAGCGCTAGTGCTAAGAGTTTTAGAAGGTGACTAGGAGGTCCCTTCTTTCTGTTTTAATGTTTAAATAGTATACCACCAGGTATTTCAAAGAGTAATTTTCTTTTCTGATTTCAAACGGAGATTGCATCCTTTAAGTGTTGTGTACAAACATTCTGATCTGTTTTTCTAACTTTTATTTTATTTATTTATTTTATTTTTCAAATTTCTATACCGCCCTTCTCCTTTCGGACTCAGGGCGGTGAACAGCCAAGTAAAACACTTTATATACAAAAGTTAAAATAGATTTAAGATAATTAAATAATTTGGCCCATAATTTAAAACATTTCAATTTAAAACCAATTTCAAATTTTAAAAACCCCATCATTTTAAACGTAGTATTTATGTAGGGGTTATTAATCATTCTTTCCATGCTTATTTATATGGACCCAAGAATTTTCAATAGACCTGCTCTGATGTTGAAGTAGTCCTCAACTTACAACAGTTCATTTAGTCACCGTTTGAAGTTACAATGGCATGAAAAAAGTGATTTATGATCAGTGATGGGTTGCTCCCGGTTCGGTCCAGTTCTTGCAAACCGGGAGTAATGGTGGTGGGAGGCTCTACCCACCCGCCCGGACATCATTATGGATGATCATTATGGAAGCATGCACACATGCACGCTTCCATTGCGAACCGGTAGTAAAGGTAAGTGGAACCTACCCATTCTTTTGATCATTTTTCACATTTACAACCATTGCAGCATCTCCATGGTCACGTGATCAAAATTCAAACGCTTGGCAATTGGTTCATATTTATGACGGTTGCAGTCTCCTGAGATCATGTAATCACATTTTACAATCTTCTGACAAGCAAAGTCAATGGAGAAGCTGGATTCACTTAACAATTGTGTTACTAACTTAACAACTGCAGTGATCCACTTAACAACTATGGCAAGAGTGATCATCAACCCTTGGGCAACAAAGGGGCAAAACCTGCTTAAGAAATGTCTCAAATTTGGGGCTCAATTGTGCTCATAAGTCAAGGACTACCTGTAGTTAAAGCCCCTTGGTCAAGAAAGGACAATTGAATGGTTATTTAAGAAAGCTAACAAACATTCAGCAGATCCATTTCTGAAGAACCAAGGAAACAGATCTTCAGAAAAGAAACACACTTGGAGCAGGCCAAGGTCTTCCCTCAGCTAAGAGACCCACTGGACTGACTCACCCTCTTTCCTGGAAATGTCCATAGAAATTCTAACCGTCCATTCCAGGACGTCTGTCCTTTGCATTCCAAGTTAAGGGTTTCTCCAACCAAGAGTTTTCTGGGAGTTGCTTCCACAACCGCATTCCAAACTCGTATCTCTAAAAGAAATAAGAAAGTCAGCGATCAAGCATCTCCTCCAGCAACATTGAGTATCACATACAGAATCAACATATTTGATGGCCCTTCAGCCATATCTTTTAATGGAGAGCATCTAATACCAGCTTTGAGGAGTGTTTATGGAGGAAAATCCATTTGATTTCCATAACTGGAATCAGGCTTAGTGCAGAATATATAGGCACTATTTATTTAATGATTATTTGAAGTTATGACATTGAAGTGACTTATGACCATTTTTCACACATATGACCGTTGCAGCATCCCCATGGTCATGTGATTTACATTCAGATTCAGATGCTTGACAACTGTTTCATATTTATGACGGTTGCAGCATCCCGAGATCATGTGATCCCCTTTTGTGACCTTTTAATGAGAAGGCCAGATTCACTTAACAACCGTCTTACTAATTTAACAACTGCAGTGATTCACTTAACAAATGTGACAAGAAAAATGGTAAAACCCATTTAACAAATGTCTCACCTACTGACATCAATTTTGGGCTCAATTGTGGTCATAAGTCAAGGACTACTGGCAGTCCAGCAATGGAAAATTATGTCCAAAAAGGACATTTTCAGCACCCGGAGCAAAAGCAGTCATCCACTCACCCGCTTTCTGGGTCAAGTAATAGGTCTCATATTGTGCTCCGTTGACTGTAGCAACACATTTGATCATTCTAGTAAAGAACTCAATGGAGGGTGAAGTGATCATGAATCCTTTCTTTGGGTCCCATTCCTTCTTCTCATAGGTGAGAGGCTTGAGAGATTGATGCTAAAGAAGAAAAAGAAAATATAAAGATAGTACTTTTTGTCTGAGATAAAGCTACTGCCAAGACTGACTCACACTTTCGCCTACATTTTGCTTCGCTCGTAGCTTGACAAAGAATAGGGCGATGGTGGGTTGGAATGCAAAGGTGGGGGGAATGGCATCCAAGCATCCTCAGTTCCTGTCATACATTGCTACCCCCTCAAGGACAACCTGAGCAGATGTCCCAGTGTGGCCGGCTGGTTCCCCTAACAAAATGAACAGAAGTGATTGGTGGACCTAATGGACTGTGGGTGGCCCATGGAGAAAGGAGGAATGAACTATGCATGCTTTTGTGCGGGAACCCAGAGCTGGTTTTGCTTCTTCTGTGCCAATGTGGTTTATTCAGTAAAGTTTATACTCTTGGAAAAATAACATACCAGGAGTTTATTTTTCTGGATTCACCAACTGGACAGTTGACAGCTACAATAGATATAATTAAGAAGCATTCAAGCTGTTTGGATCTTGAAATGTCCCAAACATTTCTTGTCCCAAACAAGAAATGTCCCATCTTTGGGAAGATGATGTTCTGATCTTGAGAGAGCCATTCTAAGGCTCATTCCAAATTTACTGAAAATGTTTAGACATCAGATGCACTTCTCACAGACTTACTAGAAGTTGCCCACCCTCAAAATGGGCAATTTCAAACTCCATTCAGCAATTGAAGTGGGATGTTTCAGACCATTTCTGGCAAGGTCAGAACATCATCTTCCCAAAGATAGGATGTTGCAAAATCTCTACTTGTAGGAGAAGGAGGGGCTGACTCTGATGGCAGAATTAAAAGAGAGATCAGTCTAGAATCCCTACATAGCCAAGAGAGGATTAAATCCAACTTCCCTTGAATTGACTCTTATCTAGCTCCAAGTGCTAACTCATGAATGAAGGCAAATATATGTGTCCCAGGATAATGTTGCAGGATCCAATCAGGCTCCATCACTGGGACAAGAGGTTTAGTCTTCTAAGCTTTTGGACTCATGATGGAGCCCATCCCCAGGGAACTTCTCTTTACCAGAATGTCTTCATGGGCTCCAGCATGAATCTGAAAGTTTGGAAGACTAAACTTCTAGTCCCAGTGACTGACTCAGACTGGATCCTGCAAGTGTTAACCATTAGTTGAGAATATTCCTATGCATAGGCATGAATAGCAATAAATCAGTTTAATTGGACCTCCACATGGTCTTCTGTACTTGATATGAATTCAGTTCTGTTCAGACCCATCTCTTGTCTCTATTTCTTAAGGAGCAATATATCACTCATTGTAGTTTTCCAATTCAATCACTGTCATCTTCAAATACAACCTCAGAGATTCTGTCTGAGATTCTGGATTGACTCTAGATTGCTGCCAATCAAGAACACTGAATCATACTGATTAATGGATCAAATCAGTGGCTCTGTTTGTCTAATACATCATAACCATAAACTAACCCAGTGTTTCTCAACCTTGGACTTCAACTCCCAGAATTCCCCGGTCAGAATGGCTAGCTGGAGAATTCTGGGAGTTGAAGTCCACCCATCTTAAAGTGGCCAAAGTTGAGAAACACTAAACTAACCAATTCCATTTTAGCCCTACGTGTTGCACAAATCCAACCACATGGCTATTTTCTGGATCAATATACCCTAACACCCAGAAATTGGGAATAATTAAGCAAGTCATAATTTTCTTAACATAGTTAAGTTCATGATAAGCTAGCTTTCTATGTTCTAAATTTATATTGCTTATTTTGGGCATCATGCCTTATTTCAAGAGAGAGTTTTAAAGGTGTATGCAACGTAGCTAAGTAAAAAGATAAATTTAAGCAGCCAAGCAATAGTGTTTTTAACAGCAAAAAAGGACAAGAGAAAGAACTTCTGGGTGGACCTGCATAGTAGATGTCTGAACTATCTACATCATCCTCATTGATTTGAGGTTGGTGGCATGGTGAACAGACACTAGTCAGTCTTCAAGTTAATCATTAGAACCTAGCCCCTCTGATTTGTAAACCATGATTTTTAGCTTAGTGAAGGGTCCTCCAAACTTCGCAATTTAAGACTTGTGGACTTCAGCTCCCAGAATTCTGGTAGTTGAAGTCCACAAGTCTTAAAGTTGCCAAGTTTGGAGAGCCCTGGCTTAGTGTAACGATTGTTATTTCCTTTTTCAGGATGACAATCTGCCATGAACTACAGTTTGCTTGTGTATCTGGTTCTTGTACAAGCTTCACAACTGCATCTTGCAAAATTTTGCCTAGATAGACAAGCATTCTATGTTCCTGGAACAAAAAGCAGATCATTAGCTCCATCTCAACGGGAAGGGATATCAGTCAGTTTCCTGTCCCAGCTGATTTGAGCTGGAAAAACTAGGATATCTGGAACCCTGCTATGTCCCTCTGTAGTTTGGCATGCTTCACTTCTCACTTCCAGAGGCTTCCTCCATCCTGACTTATCCTTCATGCCCTATTATGAACTTTGTCTCCCATACCTACAAGGTCCAATCATTGCTGCCCCAAAACTACAGATGTCACCATCACTGGCCACTGAGACCTGTTCTTCAAACTTGTGTCCTATATAATCCCCTGCTTTCACCCTGGAAAAGACAACATGGGACAGTGCTTCATGTTAACCCAAGTTATCTGTTCTCCTACGTTGGCTGCAGCTTGACTTTGGATTAGAAGTCAGGGCCTTGAAGCTGCAGAAAAACAATCAGGCAAGCAGAAAGTGATATTAAGAAGGCAGTACGAAGCACCTATTTTAAAACATTGTGTAATCACAAAACTTTGTTTTTTTAGTCTTACAAATCTTTTCTCTTCTGGGCCAAACAATAGTGCTATATTTTAAGGGAATGTGGTGTAGGATAAGGGCAGAACTCCTATTTCTTTCTCTTGCAGCGGGGATAAGGTGGTGGTCTCTTGCCTTTTATCCAAGTTGAAATAGAAACCTATTTGTCTTCTAGGTATTTCTATCTATAGGTGAGGAAACTGTTTAGAAGAAACAGCATGTCTTTCTTGTTATTAGAGTCTCTCTCTCTCTTTCTCTCTCTCTCTCTCCCTCCCTCTCTCTCTCTCCCTCCCTCCCCCTCTCTCTATCCACCAACCATCCCTCCTCTTTCAATCATCTATCTATTTCTCATCTCTCTCACACATTTATCTCTCATCTCTCTCTCTCATCAGCCAGCTATCTAGCTGTGTAGTGTTTAGCTCTCTATCAGTAATATTTGTCCGTCTCTCTCTTTCTCCCCTAAAAATTCTTCTTTTGCAATAAAAATATTTTTACTGCTTTTAGATGGTAATTTCATTTATGTACTGAATCATCATTGCCAATTTATGAGGCTACAGTGGTAAAATGCAAAGAAGGGATGAAGGTTATTCCTAATTTGCAGTCCAAAGGCACATTTAGTGGATCATGCTAAAAAAAGATTAGTTAGGTATCCCAAAATTGGCTGAAATTGGCAGCATTAAACCGGAACATATTTTTTGAAAATGAAAAAAAACCATGATAGCATGATTGAAGCTCCATCCCTTTCTATATGCAGCCCATGTAAAAATTGGGGAAGGGCTTTGATATTGTGAGCCTCCTTGATTTTTTTGACTCTCTCTGCATGGATAACCCTGCTCCAATAGATCCCTTTTCTACATTAATAGCGTTTTTGGCAAAGTGTCATGGCAGTTTAGGGCAAACTTAGATGATTCCAAGCAGTCTTAATTTCCTTTCTGAGGTTTTCTCAGGTCCCACGGGGAGGGATAGCCCACATGGTTTTATTCTACATTAATTTTACATAGATATTATGTATGTATTGTGTGTATATTCAAAAGCCTGAATTTCAAGCCCAGCTCTAGAACTAATCAGAATCAGCTGACATGAAGAATGAGCTTCTTTCTAGCATTAGCAACCTATCCAAGTTCCCATAAATATCTAAAGAGGATAGAGTGCAGTCATTTTAAAGTATAATGGAAACATCAGAATTGTAATTTACAAGGGGTGAACTCTGTTGTTTCAGAAATTGTGAAACAGAATGGTGATGAATAGTAAAATTCTGCCTTTGAGGATCCCCTGATGATCAGATTTAAAATATATATGTACAGAAATATTGCACATAGATATGATAGCTATAGATACACACCCCCATATTCCACATATTAAATGAAATTGCTCGTGCAATATTCAAAAGTTTTTATGAAAGGAGAAGAGGAGCCACAGCTGATTTTACCCCAACCTTCAAAAGACCCTGGTGCTATTTTTCCTCCCTCTCTTTCCTGCCGTTTTATCTCCGAGCAGTTATTAAATTTGAAGGAGGATGTTCTAAATTTGTCAAATCATCGGGCTCCTTCCTTCCCTCCTCCACTTCAGTTTCCTGTGAGTAAAGGAAGCCGCCAACCCGGCTCCACACGTAGTATTTCCAGACAAGGCCAAAATAACAAGCCAGCTTTCCTTAAATGGGAACAGAAAGATGGGCACCCAAGGTAAACACACCTCTACAGAAAGCCTTATCCGCTCTTCTGGAGACGTCTCTCAAGCCAGGGGAAAAGACACTTTCCATTTGGGGTCCCACCCCCGTTCTGTCTCTTTCAAAGGAGGAAGAACAAAGTCTTTGGCTCAGATGCCCCAGCAGCTTAAAATGGAAATATCTAGCCATCCTTCTGAAGGTCTAGGACGAGGTCCCAGTTCCAGACTGAGCAACAAATGGAAAAGGTTTGACTCAGCTCCAGAGATGGGAAAGATCAGAAACCAGGCATCTGAACTGCTTGCCCTTTTCTCAAGGAGATGTTATCTTCAGCTTTCAGAGAGGCTGCTAGGCTGGTATTAATTCTCCATATATTTCAACAAAAGTCAACAGAGATGTTAAGCCAACACTTACAGGAAGCCAAAGCTCTTGCTACACCAGCCAAGAAGGAGAGAGAAGGAAAAAAAGTCAATAATGGGTTTAATTTCAAAATTATGAAAATGTGTGTGTGTGTTTTGGATTGAGTACTTTATGAAGGGAAATTGCTCTCTTCGTAGGAAAGTACTGTTTCACCTCAATGTTAAAACTAAAGAAGTTTCTCTTGGCAATTTTTATTACTTTGGCAGCTTATGAGTAAGATGCCTCTACTGTTATCCATCAAACACTATCAGCTCCCTCCCGTTGCCTGTTTAGTTCTACTAGACTAGAGCATCAAATACCACCCCGTAACAACTCCAAAACCCATGGTAAATACCAACAATCAAACACTGAGATGAAATGACCATTCATCTGAGAGTCTGCCACTGAGAGTCTGTATTAGAGACTTTGAGATTGGCTGAAGATCATTCTATCTCAAAAACAGCTTCTAAGAAACCTAGGGTGGCTTCTGGGGAAAAAATTGCCTCATGAGAAGAGTATGAAGCAACACATATAATTGTACTCTTTGAAGTACAGTGGTATTCCACTTATTTGTCAGTTTCTTTACTCCAGAGAAAGAGTGACTGAGTTAAATCTACATGACAGCAAACTCAGCTATGGTAGGACAAATTTTATGGCGGCTTTCCTAAAGCTGTTTCATTGCTGGAGGCAGAGAAAGTGCTAGTGCTGTATAGTGGTATTTTTTGTTATGTATATATATATGCATCACTTTGAAACTTCCCAGGCTGCCCATGTATCTAATCTGAGAAAGCCTCATGAGGTCTTCTCTTGAGATTGGAGGAAAGAGAGGGAAGCCAGGGAAGCTGTAGGCCACTGACAGGAGAGAGTACTACAAAAGGCAGGATACTCACACACAAGCCTTAGAATCACAGGGCTGGAAGGAACCTTAGAGGTCTTCTAACCAAGTCTGCCCAAGGCAGGAGTCCTTAAACTATCCCAGACAAATGCTTTTCTTTTTTTCTTTTCTTTTCTTTTCTTTTCTTTTCTTTTCTTTTCTTTTCTTTTCATCCTCTAGTGATGGAGCACCCACAAGGAGGCAAACTGTTTCATTGATGAATGAAATCAATGACCTCACTATCAGGAATATTTCCCCTCAGTTCCAGGTTGTATCTCCCTCTGATGAGCTTCCACTCATGGTTTCTTGTCCTGCCCTCAGATGCTTTGAAGGACAAATCAACCCCCACTTCTTTATGACTGCCACTCAAGTATTAGAAGACTGCTATCATGTCACCCCAATCCTTCCCTTCAGGCCTCGTTCCCTTAACTGTTCATTGTATAAGACATGGTAAGAAGTCTAGCGTCCTCTTATCATCTCTGCTGCTCTTCCCTGCATGCTTCCTAAAAGATTCTCAGCATCTTTTGTGTTTCGTGTTGATCAGAACTGGATGCAATATCCCAAGTGTGGCCTCACTTCCTGTGATCTTGATGCTTTCCCTCTGTTAATACAGTCTTGGACCACATTGGCTGTTTTGGCAGCTGCAGCACAAGGCTGGCTCCTACTTAAGCAGTGTTCCGCCAAGACATCTCGATCCATTTCACAGGCATTACTTAGTTGCTTTATAACAAAGAACTGAAATAATATTATTCTCCACTCTCAAGAATGTCACCCCAATTCTATCCTTCTTTAAAAGAAAATTTGAAAGCAGGTTCTATTAAGTGAGAAGCAATAGGAAAAAAGGGAGAAAACAATTCCACATGGTATAAAATTAAAGCTCCCTCTTCTTAGGGCTGGTGTCTGTATTACCTTGCCCTAAAACAGTTCTGCTTCTCCTTCTGCCTTTCAGCAAGCCCAGCTCAGGGAACAAGAATAATATTCTACCTTTTCAAGAGCACCCAGAAAATTAACCAAAGCCATCTTGAAATCCTAGTTCAGAGAAATTTAGGATTTTGCTTCAATCAGGATCCTGGTTGAGAATAACGGATCCTTTCTGGAATAAATTCCAGCAAATGTTCTTCCAGGGTAAAAAAAAAAAAAAGCCCAGAATAAAAAAACAAATAGGAATTGCATTTATCTAAGAAACTCTTCAATAGATGCCCAAAATATATAATCTTCCTTTTGCTATCATGCCTGATTCTCATATCTGTCTGAACCAGAGTTTAAATCTACTAGTTTGAAAATCTATGGCTAAAAGTGGCCCATTACTGAGCAAATCAATCCTCTTTGGTCTATTTATCAATAGTTACCCTTGAAAGCTAACCCATTTGATGAAGGTTGTGAGAAGATTCAGAAATAAACTAAGACAATATAATGCTCACCAGCAGCAGCTCCGGTTTGATCTCTGGTGAGGTGACACGACATGGCACGTTGATCACATCTGTATTGTTGTTCACACGGATGAGGGATGGATGTTTTGGGTGGGGTTGCACAAAAGGCTCTGACTGATCTGCAGGGACACAAAAATGGAACATCACAAGTGTGCAGAGAAGCAAGCCTATTGGGTTGCTTGATAGAAATTACCTGCTATTCATCCTTAATTTTTACACCAAAAGTACACCAAAAGTAGAGTAGATTAACAGATTGTGATTCTGATTTAGTCTTAGTTAATCCTTTCGGGGAAAAAACATTGGCAAAGCCAGATTCACTCTTTCTCAACTCAGATATGACACTATACGCTAACCCAGGGGTGTCCAAACATTTTGCAAGGAGGGTCAGATTTGGTGAGGTGAAAATGTGTGGGGGGCCGACCATTCAGCCTGACAGTCTTTGAACCATTGACTCACGGGCTCTTGTGAAAAAACGCTGCTGAGCTGTTAAAGCAGCTTCCAGTTCCTTTCATTTTTCACCATGTTTGTTCCCAGTTAGCTTGTTGTAGTTAGCATGTTTCGTCTGGTAGTGCCTCTTGATATTGAATTCCTTGAAAACAGCCACAGTCTCTTGGCAAATTAGGCAGACACAGACATATTTCAGTGAAAAAATACTCCAATTTCCATTTGTCCTGGAAGCGGCAGCCCTCGCTGTCAACTTTCCTTTTTTTAATTACAGTCGCCATTTTAGAAATGGGCACACACACTCACAAGGGTCACGCAGCGAGAGTGCTGACTACTGCCATCTCCTGGTGAAAAATATGGCTGAGATGCTCTGCAGAGCAGGGTGGCTGTGGAGCAGGAGGCAGCAGGGGACAGCTGCGGGAACTGCTGTGCAGTGAAGGGAAAACGGCAGGCGGTAGAGATGAGTGACAGGCTGAGTTGGCAGGGAGAAGAGGCTGTGGGCCGCTCAAAATTTGAACACGGGATGCAATTGGCCCCCAGGCCGGACTTTGGACATGCCTGCCCTAACCTTTCCCATCTGAAAATAGCATCTGAAACTGTGGAGATATCTTATGCTAGGAAATTGATAAATGCAACCAATTGAGCTTACAACTCAGGTCTTCAAAGAATGTTAATTTCCTTGCTTATTTCCAATTTCTCTTGGAGAAGAGGAGGACACAATGACCCTTTCTTTGGAGGCATCTGGAACTTTTTCTCAATGCCCAAGAAAAAAATAGCAGTGATGGAACCAGCAAATCAGCACAATAAGACTTGATTTTCACATATGTAGGTGTTATTGCAAAGACACAATCATGTTTTCAGCATCTACATTGCTGGACAGTTCCCTGATGCAACTCTACAGACAGCTTTGTCTGTTAGGGCGGAAACTACATTGAGGGGTCCTTGATGTTCTCTGAGCTTCGTTGTTTCTTTGCAGAAGTTTCCCCAAACTAGGTAACATCGTCAGATAATATTTCCTAGTTTGGTAATGAAATGTCTGCAAGGAAACAACCAAGCTCAGAGAGCACCAAGGACCCCTCATTTTCACCCTGAACTACAAATGGAATAGAATACTTTATTTGGCCAAGTGTGATTAGATGCACAAGGAATTTGTCTCCAATAAAGCAGCTCTCAATGTACATGCAAAGCAACAGAGTATAATAATCATAATAATGATACTAATAAGAGGGGGTAGTAGACAAGATGAGAAGGATGATAGCAATACAGTCCTACTACATGGATAAATATCCTTAGGGATAAGTTCTGTGGGAATTAGGTGTTCAGCAGAGTGATGGCTCAGGGAAAAATACTGTCCCTTGTCTAGTTGTTTGGGCATGAGATGTCTCAAGGGGAGGAGTTGAGACAGTTTATGTCCAGGATGTGAGGGGTCTGTAGATATTTTCTCAGCCCTCTTTCTGACCCTTACAATATACAGATCCTCCATGGAAGGCAGGCTGGTTGCAATTGGTTTTTCTGCAGTCCTAACTATCCACTGAAGTCTGTACATGTCCTGTTTGGTTGCTGTATCAAACCAGACAGATAGAGGTACAAATGACAGACTCAATAACTCCTCTTCTAGGACTGTATCAGCAGCTCCTTGGTGCAATCTGAACTTAATGAGTTGAACAGGAAGAACATTTTTGTTGTGCCTTTTTAATGATGGTTCCAATGTTAAGCACCCATTTCTACACCTGGGAGATTATAGTACCCAGAAACCTGAAGGATTCTATTGCTGGTACGGTGCTATATATAGTATAATACAGTAAGAGGTGGTAGAACAGAAGGGCTCTTCCTAAATATTCTCCTTAATTAGAAACTACATTCCATCCCAGCTTCCCTCAACTTGTGCCTTCCAGATATGTGGACATCACTTCTCATCAGCCACAGCCAATGCAGCCAAGCTGAGAAATACATGTTGTCGTTGTTGTTTTGGTCACAAGGAATTGCATTTCTCATGAGTGAGGAGTGAAAATTACAGTGGGGGGACTCACAAGGACACCCCATTATTACAACCTGGGAGATCTTTCTTCCCCCTTGTTTTTAAAACTGGGTTAGCCTATTTAATGGCTTACACTGTATTTGAGTGTCTCCCTCCTTAAAATGGAGAATGCCAGCAATTTTTGGCAACTGCACTAATGAAATTCATGGTGCAATCAAAAAGGTTTGCAGAGCTAAAAAAATAAAATAAAAGGCAGTTCGTGCCTGGATTGTGCTATTCTTCAGTTTGGCTTTCTGCCTAGCAAGATAATCCATTATCTTTTTGATGAATGTCAATTATTCTAGGCCAGTGTTTCTCAATCTTAGCCATTTTAAGATGGGTGGACTTCAACTCCCAGAATTCACATATGAGACTCCTTAGAAATAGCACGCAGTGATAATGGTTTTGTTATAGTTTGTACTTTTAAAGTTAGTCCTTGATGATGGAAGGCAGATAGCAAACAAATAAACTGGGGAAATCATTGAAGCTGATCCAGCATCACAAAAATTCTCCTTCTCACCACTTGAGGGTGCAGTTAAGATGACTTTACAACATTCAACTACTGTACTTCTCTTGCTAATGGACTTCTACAAATGGTCTATTTACATTCAGGCTAGGGGAAATGAGGTGGGGGAAGAGAAAACAGGGGATCAAAAGGCAGCTGTTATTGAAAAAAGGTGAAGCCACCCCCCACCTACTCCTTTTCATTTAATTCATGGGTATATATAATGAGCAGGAAAGGAAAAAGGAAAGGAAAGGGAAAGGGAAAGGGAAAGGGAGAGGAGAGGAGAGGAGAGGAGAGGAGAGGAAAGGAAAGGAAAGGAAAGGAAAGGAAGTTATGTAGAAGGAGGAGAAGGAGAAACCCTATGGAGATCTGCATGAAAGAAGGCCGAATTTTGAAAGTTGAATAAACAATGCAGTATCCACCATTGCCTTCCTTCCTGATGTTGTGATGCACATGAAATAATTTGCTTTCCTTTGTGGGCACTCTAGAGATTTTTCAGAAAAATAAGGTCTAACATTGTTTTTGTGCCCTCAACCTTTACAGACATTAACAGGAAGGGGTCCACATTGTTGCAAGGTTGAAGGCTCAGGCTGATTTTTACAGATGCAGCCAGTTCTTTAAATTAACTAAGTCTTAAGTCATTGTTTCTAGCTGGAGGTAGAACAGGGCAGGATATCTGAGTGGAAGAAGAAGGAGAGATAAGGAGAGGCTGCTTAATGGTTTCCTGACATTTTCAGCTCAGAATTGCCTGCCTGGTGCTGATTTCTCACAGCAATGGAGGTGGGTGATGAATGGTCTCGGTTTATCAGGACACTACATAAACCAAAACACAGAAAAGCAAATAATCTGGTTTATTGTCTTTCTTCAGAATAACTCTCTCATACCCTTTTTCCCACTATGGGAAGTTTATCAACTCCTTCATGGATTCCACATAATTAGTCTCAAAACTGAAATCTTGGCCTAGAAACAAAATCTCTTGCTTCTGGATCTGGAGTTGGGTTTAGATAGCTACTCAAATTGCTGAACTGCAATCTTTTGAAAAGATTGTGATGGATTCCAAACAGAATAGAATGCAGAATACAGAATAAGAGATTTGGAAGGGGCCTTCTAGTCCAGCCCCCTATTCAAGCAGGAGACTCTATACAATTTCAAACAAATGGCTGTCCAGTCTCTTCTTGAAAACCTCTGGAGGCAAGTTGTTCCACTGATTGATTGTTCTCACTGTCAAAAATTTCTCCTTAGTACTAAGTTGGATTGCTCCTTGATTAGTTTCCATCCATTGCTTCTTGTCCTGCCCTCAGGTTGATTCCCTCTTTGTGGGAACCCCTTAGATATTGGAAGACTGCTATCATGTCTCCTCTAGTCCTTCTTTTCATTAGACTAGGCATACCCAAGTTCTGCAACTGTTCTTCGTATATTTTATCCTTCAGCCCCCAATCATCTTTGTCAGTTTTCTCTGAACTCTTCCAAAGTCTCAACATCTTTTTTTATATCGTGGCGACCAAAACTGGATGCAGGTGTGGTCTTACTAAGGCATTATAAAGCAGTAGCATCACTTCTGGTGATCTTGATTCTATCCTCTGTTTATGTAACCAAGGATTGTATTGGCTTTTTTGGCAGCTGCAGCACATCCCTGGCCCATATTTATGTACTACTGGTTTATATTTAAATATGAGTATATAAACACTTTCTAACCTTCTAGCTCTGTCTTTGTGACACACTACCTTAAAAAGCACTCTTGAAGATCATGGTAGTTATTTTCTATCCCCAACTGGCAGGTCATTTTAGCATGTTTGTGATTGGTCACATAATCCAAACCACCAAGAAGTCCCAAGCCTACTGCATTTGGACTGCAAAAATCCAGACGATCGCTAGACAGCAGACAATCAAGTTTCCTGTATCTCTGTACTGCCATTCTGCTTTTTGTAATTCAGACAACAGGGCTCTCACTTTGGAACTATTATTTATTTATTTATTTATTTATTTATTTATTTATTTATTTATTTATTTATTATCGAATTTCTATACCGCCCTTCTCCCTGAGGACTCAGGGCGGTGTACAGCCAGAATTAAAAAACATGCAATACAAATATTAAAAAACAATTAAAAGATATATAAATTTGGCCCAATTAAAACTCACTACCAATTAAAAC